GATTTCTTCGGACAGTTTCTGGAGAAATGTAAAATCTCGTGTCATTTAAAACATTTTCTTATTGTTTTAAATGGTCTTCTAACTTTTTGAAAAAGAAAACTATCAAAAAGTCGAACACATTTGCTATCGGCTGCTGTGAATCGAAGAACAGCGATATTTGAGTTCGTGTTATAGGCTAGATGGTGAAAAAAGTTCTTGGATGCCACTCAATTTATAAGAATCCTAAAATTTGTGTAATCGAGATAACCAAATGTCTTACCAAATAAACTTTTTCTCGAAAAACCGAAAAAGTAGCTTGAAGTTTATTCTCTGTAACGAAAAATCTCACAGTTGTGAATTTTTGTTTCTTTTGGGTGATACTTTTTATTTACCTTGTATACTGTTCTTCGTTAGTGTTCGTTGATTGGTTGAATAGTTGACATTCGACAGGTCAGTATAACCCCGCGGTCCGAATTGAGCTTTTTGTTTTGAGCGCGCTAGTGTTAGACACTGCTGGTCCGAATTGGTTTGCACGCTTTGACGACTATTGATTTGGACTGAATTTTTAGCGCGCTCATGAAATCCGTTACATAACCTCACATCTCACATGAAAATGTATTCCTCAAGCAACAAAAATTATAGTCCATGAAAAAAATGGTGAAACTTTGGTGAATATTTTTCTCATTATTGACATAGTGAAGACGACACCGCTATCGAAATAATATTTCTTCGTCAAGTACTGATGATGAGGAAGCTGATGCAGCAGTTGTATAATATAACGCGTTCGTTCAATGTTATGTTGATTCTGATACCTCGTAGTTGTCTCTGTATTCTGTACAACAGTATTTATATCCGTACTTTTTCCCCACGTTTACTTTTTCAAGTATCAAGTGACAGTAGTGACACTATTGACAGCAGCGCTGAGACTGCTCCACCTCTGAACTATCAGTGCGTTCCACTAAACATTCGCGGCGCTCGTGACGACTATTGGATCATTCCACATCACGATCGCGGCGGCTACATATTGGCCATCATTATGTCACTCATGACGTTACCGTTTATAACCAATTTGAGCTCGCATCGCCCGCTATTTTCAGATGGGTCGGCGGTCGCTTCAGTGAATTTGCCCTGGATGATTTAAAATATTTTATATATTTCTCACCAGTTCAGTACCATTCCTGGGATGGGGTCAGAAAAAAATCTGTTTTTTTTTTGATCCCGAAAAAAATACAGCTGTTGTAGTTCTGTTGAATTCTGAGGATGCAGAACGGGCCCGTAATGGTGAGCAATTTAGTTTACAGTTCATCTGATTTTCTTTCGAAAGATAATTTTATTTTGTCTGAGAAACAAAGGATGTATATAAGATTCTTAGGAATTGTTAGAATTAATTACAATAATTGTTCAGCGTTCACCTTTTAAGACATTAATTATGCAACTGCTTTGATGTATGCTGCCACTAAGGAGCAGCAGTCCTATGATGAAGAACTAACTAACTGAAGATGGTGCAAGCACATCTGGAGTACCATATGCATCAAATAATGAAAACTCCGAGAATCAAGAGGATGAAGGGGATGGTACTAACAATATATCATAATGTATAGATAAATGTAACATGCTATAATACATTTTTTTTTAGGATCCCTGTACAGGTGGTCAGCACCTTGTGTACTCCTGTTTCTAGAAACTTATAGGAGACTAGAAAAAAAATTCCTCAGTGGAAAACAATCTCACAAAAAAAAGTTGGGAACAAATATCACAAATACTCGAAAAGGAGGGGTACACTGCCACAGGGGCACAGTGTGCTTCAAAATTGAGAAGTTTGAAAAAAACGTACAAATCCATCAAGGATCATAATAATAAATCAGGCAATGATAAGCGAACCTGGCCTTTTTATGAGGTATGGGATTTTTTCGGATTGCATGTTATTTTCATAAAAATGATTGAAAATAAACCTAATAATTGCTTTGTTGAGATTTGGTTTAGAATAGGTAGTTATGTTATGTATTATCATTTTCAGATAATGGATGAGATATTTTCGAAAAAAGCTTGGTGTGCTTCTTTGGCAGTTGCATCTTCATCAGGCATATCTACTAAAAGTGTCCCAGGCGGAATGCATCACTCGGAAGGTGAAATTCAAAGTGATTTCAGAGTCACCAAAAACTCCAGTTACTAAATTACTTGCAGAAAGAATAAGGCAAAAAGAGGAACAAGAGGAAGCCAGGAACAAAGGGCACCGAGAGAAAATGGAAATGGATCAAAAGTTTCTGGACATACTAAAAAAATTGGTTGAGAAAAAATAATGGAAAATATCAATAATTTGGTTTTGTGAAATATGTTATTCCTTAATACTGATTATGTTTTGTTATTTATATAAGTCTTATATTATGTTGCAACTTGTTTTTTTTTTTGTTCAAAACTAAGTACAATAATTATTTAAGTTTCACATAGTTCTTTATAAAATACATATATATTTATATTGGACAGTGGTTAACAACAAAATTTGGTATGCATGAACTGATACATTTATTTCATAGTAGCAAAGCATTCATGATTACATTCCATTTATCAGTTCCTATATTTTGTCTTGGTCCATGTCGAATATTTTCTCTATTTTTTTCAAGAATTGGTGGAACTGTGATAATATTATTTATTTGATCCCTGCGTTGTGTGCAAATATTATGGATGACCCAACATGCTATTATATACTCTGCCATTAAATCTACCCTCGACATTGGCAAACAATGCAGTGATCTTCTCATTCGTTCTTTTAATAGGCCAATGCATCTTTCGAGTAGATGTTGATGCAATTCATAAGCAGAGTCTCCCAAAATATGGCTGTCAGCAAGGAAATTTTCAACTTGATTTAGATAGTCTACTACCTCTGACTGTTGAAAAACTCTGGCATCATAGCAAGATCCAGGATATCCTGTGTAGC